TTGCGATACAGAATGTAAAATAAAATCAACTGTTTGCTTTTAGCATTTTCTTGAAATCCTATTTTTAAATCTAAAGCCAGTTTCTTAGCAACCATTCTAATAATGATAATAATAAACTCTGTCATCACTAATATATTCTTTCAAGCTTAAGCACAGAGGGCTTACCATATTCAAATTAACTGAACATTAATACATTTTCTGATTTCATACAAAGAACATGTAATAAAGAAGCTCTTTAATTGAAAATGTATGAAAGTGCAAATGATAAATAAACCCATTGACCCTGAAATGTTCATGATGTATGCAGACTATTTGCATGAACATACTGTAAGTGTTACAGAATCTGCGGCTGAAGGATGAAACTCCGGTCAGAGGAGTGCAGATGTATCCTCCAGACATTCAGCGCTGCAGGTAAGGTAAAAATAGAAATACAGTAAATGGACGTTTTTATTTCTGAACTTGAACAAAAGGATTTTCTCTGCAGGTCACATTCACTCTGTCAGGAAACTTCGGAGACTTCAACTCTTGTTCATTTCCACTCTGTCCATGCAGCTCAACCTTTCACACACTTCCATTGTTCTTCGTCTCCTCTTCCTCCTTCATCTAAATACCCCTCATTCCTTTCTATCTGTGAGAAGAATTGATATTACAGGCTCCTTGCTGCTGCTGCTTCTTCTTAAGAGGATCAGTCTAATATGAAATTATCTTTAGTTTAACACCACAGATCACATGGAGGTGCTTTGTCAGTTCAGACATATGCACATGCTTTAAGTGTAGTCATATTTAGTTTAGGTTGTTTCAGCATTCAAAAGCCAATTTATTTTCAGTTAGCTATTTACATGTCTGCCATTGTATCCATTAATCTATCCAGCTAATCCAATCAGGCATTTCTCTGACATCAGGGAGCGTTTCGTTGTGGGAGAGGCTTTAAATCTTCACAGCCAATTGAAGTCAGATTATTAACATGGAAAGGAAACACAGAGGAGACATTATCCTGTCAGGAGTCTTCAGCAGCTCCCCCGGGCCCACCTGCAGCTCTGCATGGACGCATGAAGCCTCTGCTGTCCGTTAAAGGTTACAGCTGAGCCTCATTCTGGTGCAGAGAGACGCTTATCCCCATTAGAGTAGAGAGGGGGAGAGCAGACTTTTGCCCAAACTGACACCCGTCAGCTCGGGATGTACCGGCCTGTTGAAGTGAAGGTGCATTTGAGGCTCATTTTCTCCAGATTTGTTTCTTTTTCGGTGTCAATCATAATATAAGGAGTACCTTAGTTTCTCCAAAATATTCCAGCTTGAATGGAAGATGTGGTTTCAAAATAAAAAATAAATGGTATAGTTTGGGTACAATCATTGAGTAGAATTCATCTTGAAGGTGCCCTATTGTGCTTATTAACAGTTTTTATATTTGTATTTTGTGCCTTACTGGGACATGCTTTAATGTTCAAAAAGCTGTTTATTTCAGGTCAGCTGGCCGGCTCTGTTGTGATTGGTCAACCGCTTAGAGATGTCAGATCACATAGGAGCACTAACCAATAGAAGTGAGAGTGTTACATAGTGATGTCACTTGTCCAATGGAGGCCTTTCTGGCAGGGGGATGAGTGTGTGGTAGAGAAACCCAACTCAAAATAACCACCATTTATTTAAAATGTGTGAAAAGTATGTCTGGTACTTTTTTACAAAACTTGACATTTCTCACGACAGCCTTATTAACAGACCATATTGAAACAAATGTATTATTAATCTGTATTTTTCTCATTGAAGATTTGATGACATGAATGATTAGGTGTGAGAGTTATCAACATTTTGGAGAATGAGAGACTGTAATTGAGTTAGAAGTCAGGGGTGATATTAAGTTTAAAGATTCATGACTTCGATTTTATTCCACCATCACGGGAAAGTGTCTTGCGCTTCAGAAAATTGCTGAAATATATCTAAAAAGCAGAAGATTCTTTGCACATTTCTTAGATAAACAAAAGAGGAGAAAACTTTCTTCTGCTTATTTATTCAGTACACACAATAAACCATGAAACTTGATTGAGGACTGACTTATAACAATCAGGGAATGACCATTACTGTACAAACAACTATTTACTTTCCAGGGAGACAACAAATGACTTTCAAAAGGGGAAAGGATATCCAATGAAGTAGAAAGAAACGATCAAGGAAACTTCCTGTTATTCTTTATCGATCCAGCTCCCACGAGGGGGATTTTGCACTTTTACACAAAGTCAAAAGGTGCTCAGAGACTTTTCTTTGGAAGAAATTCAGCTCCACCTCATGCATCTAACATGCATCTGGCTTTTGTTTTTAGTGTGGCTCTCTCATTAATTGAACATGAAGTACAGGAAGCAGAAGATGAGATAAGATCTGTGAAATAATTGTTTTGTTTCCAATGCAGAAGCCAGAGAACCGTCATAAATATGGCAACCTAATACAACTCTCCCGTTAAAAATGCAAAACAAGACGTTAATATGATGATGTTCAATTTTATCAGTCGAGTCAAACTGGGACTCTTTAGTCATGCAAGGCAACCACAAGGCTCAAAGTGTTGCTTTTGTCTTGTTTTTGTTCAGAAATCGTCCCTTTAAAGGACTTTAATGTTAGAGTACAGATTTAAAAACACATGTTTGCAGGAGTGTAGGGTTCAAATGCATCATTTCATCTTCACAGTGTTGGTTTAGCGTCAGCTGCTTTGAAAACACTCGTTGGGTCTCTTGAAAGTCAGCCATCAGGCCCTGGAGCATCTTGATGTGTCTTCTTCTTTGATTTCTCAGCAGTTTGCCCTCAGAGCTTCATGAGGATGAAACGTGTTTTTGCTCCAGACTGGAAACTAAAGTTGTGTTATCCTATCCTTCCCCTTAGCTGCTGTCTGTATCAGAGGAAATACTGTTATGAAGCCCCCATGCTCATATCACAACCTTTAATTATCTTATTAGATATAGAGGAAAATTGGACTGTTAACGGGAAATGTCTCCCCTAAGATTCAAAATGCAATAGGCTTATTTATTATAAACTTAATACATTTTAGCAAGCCTGTGTGACGGTGTGGTGTAGGTAAGAGTTTGTGTTGCCAACAACGCCACCTAAGGGAGTTTCACCTCTAGGAACTAACTATTGATTATAAAAGATTTACCACACAAGGAACACAGGTTCGTTTTACATAACGGGCCAGAGACAGTTTCAGTTACCACAATTACTTTATAACAATCAATTAACTATTCTAAAAACACCAGATCCACATAATACAATCAGCTAAAAGTTCATACTGGGGCATAGGAGGTACAAGACAGTAGGGCTGTGCAATTAATCGTATTTTAATCGCGATTACGATTATGGCTTGCGACGATTATGAAAACAGCATAATTGACAAAATACGATTATTTTGCTGGGTGCGCTTTCGCCCCTCCCTAAAAGCCCACTCGGCCACGTGGGAGTGACATGTGTTGTGAGTGTTCAGCGCGAGCGAAGATGTCAGAACAAGAGCAGCAACTCGTTAAAAAGAAGGGTCAAACTATTTCCACTATTTGCAAGTACTTTGCCATTACATTTCACATCGCTAAAGATATGTGCCCAGTTAGCACTGTTAGCAACCAGGGCTTTAAGCAACTTGTCAACACGTTGGTCAAGCGTTACGCGATGCCGTCTCGGTATTATTTCAGCAGGTCTGCGCTGCCTGCGCTATATGACAAATGCCGTGGGGAAGTTGAGAGAGATGTGGCTTCAGCTGACTACTTTGCGACCACAACAGACCTATGGTCTAGCCAAGGGGTGCCCAACCAGTCGATCGCGAGATGTGTCTAAAAATAGAACAACAATATTCTGTTTTATCGTTAATGTCCTGTAACATAATCTTCCTGTGTCAGAATAATGCACTTGAACGCATCAAAGCTTTGTCATTGGCCGGCGTCACCCCATGTGTTGAGGGTATGTGGTTGAGGGTATTCAGTACAAGTGGCAATATTGTCACCTGCCTGCGCTCATCTCTGAAACCAGACCATGTAAACAGCCTGGTGTTTCTTGAAAAGCATCTTTAAGAGATGACATGAGCAGCCCTACCAGCATTTGCCATGGTGGCCAAAACATTTTTATTTGGTCTTAAATTGTAGTTCAACATTTATTTCCTGTTACTTCTGGACCATGACGGTTGGCCAGCCTTCAACGTTTAACTGAGTGGAATATGTTGAATATGTTTTACCAAAATGTTGGCTATATGTTAAGGAGTTTTCAGTAGGTTGTGACAGTGCACTGCATCATATTTGATTTCATTTATTTTGGTCTAATTTATTTTTATTTATCATATTAATAATATATGTTTAGTATGGTTTTGGAAGTGCGCTCCAACATATTTGTTGATCTTGTTTATTGGTAAAATATTATTTGTTTTAAAGTTCAATAAATGGTCAATGAATAATCGTCAAAATAATCGTGATATCAATTATTGACCCAAATAATCGTGATTATGATTTTTGCCATAATCGCACAGCCCTACAAGACAGGGCTGGGGCTTACCAGGCGGCAATAAATAAATAGGGGGGAAGGGTCCAACTCAAAACCACCCGTGACACCGCAAACCAAATAATAGTACTTGTGAAGACCACCACCAGGGACTGGGGTTGCCGCCTCAGGCCCACAGCACCTGTCTGACAAGAGGAAGACGGTTAAAACCTCCACACAGTATTACACTCAAATAAACTAGATACAACTAAATAAATAACCAAACAACAAAACCAAATGAATGAAGGTATTCAAATAAAGTCGGTGCACCATGGTTAATATAAAATAAGAAAAACACTAGTATATAAACTAAATTAACAAAAGAAAATAACAAAACTAAAATAAAGTTTCTCGAAGTAAACAGTGAGTTGTATCAGGGAGACTTGGTTGGCGAGTTCCCTGAGAGCCCGAACCGCTCCAGAGTCCCGAAGGGGGGGGGGGGGGGGCACGTCACCAGACACGGAGCTCGCAACGCAACTGCAAGTTATTCCAGTAGTGAGTCATTGCAAAGAGCCAAAACAGCAGGACCAGTTGTCCGAAGGTGGGCCTAGCAATTAATAGCACCCCTGAAAAGGGCACAGGTACATATAATATTATGTAGAGGCCCATTAAACACATATATCAATAACTGAATTTACAGGTTCCCATACATACAATCCATTCAGCCACAGCATAGCACCCGAGCCGTCAGGGGAGAGGGGCGCACAGGCCATGGCAAAATCCCGCTGCCGCAATAAATAATATAAAATAAGCCAGGAGCCAAGTGTCAGATGATAAAGGGAGGCAGACAACGGCAACTCACCAGGTGATAACAACACTGCGCCCAGGGGAGTCCTCAGCGGAGCAATTTCTCCACCACTGCACCGGCAGTCAGATGCGCTGTCCAGATGCGAGTGTTGCGAAACGGCTGCCACGACAAAACAATTCATTCGGGCCACGCAGTGCTCCAGCCACCAGCGAAGGGGTTGACAGGTAAGTCACGAGCTACGCCACACCCCTGTATTTATACTTCCGGCGCGCCCAGCAGTGACAAATCCGGAGGCGCATGGCACAATGCCGTGCAGCGGTACGGAGGGAGAAAACCTCCTGTCACATCCAGGGGCGGATCTACCGGGGTGGCATGGGGTGGCAACTGCCACCCTAAACAATAGCCTTGCCACCCCAGCTGCCACCCCAGTTGGCATCTTTGTTTTGAAAGAAAAGTTGTGGCTCATCGGACATTTATGAGAGAAAGTCTCTAATGTCCGAGTGCAAGTGAATTTAGCACAAGATGCGCGTCATGTAACCCCTCCCCCGATCCTGGCGCGAGAGTGGAAATATGATTGGTGGCGAATTCACTTGAACGGGGGGACGGCGCAAAACGAGAAGCATTCGGACCCAAGCACTGAAGGAATGAGGTAGTTGCGGTCTACAATGACAGAGAAGAGAATGTCAAGTTTGGCTGTACTCAGCATTGAATCAAAACGCACTACGGCTGTTGATCTTAATAAGTTTGTGAGGCGTTTTGCTGAACAAAATAGTAATCGCCGCATTCAGCTGTAATAGACATGCCAACTTGATGCTCTGCTCACGGATGACTCGATGAGAATAACAAACTGTTAAGATGATGACCTTGTATGCGTGTATATTTTTTTTCTTTGAGGGGGTCTGCCCCCAAAAAACAGTTTTAAATCCTGAGAAAGTAAAATAAGACGGTGTGTAAAACTACACTGCCCAGCCAACAGAAAGTAACCACTTTGATTTAACTAGGCCAGTAGGTAAGAACTTTCCACTGGATAATAACTGCAGCGATGTTTTAGCTGAATACACGTTTTTTAACCCTAACTGATGCAGTTAGTCACTTCTTTAATGTTTGTTCTTTCTGATGTAAAGTCAAGGTTGTAACTGTATATCAATAATGATATAATTACTTGTTTTCAAATTTGAAGGAGGGCGAGCAAGCATCTTGATGAACATTCATCATTAACTCCTCCAAAACATATAGTTTATTCAATAATAAATGAATATGTGAATCATAACAGTTCTTCACTATATCTGTAAAGCGTCTTTGAGCACCTGTAAAAACGCTAACAAATTAAATCTATTATTATTATTTATTAACAGTGATTGACAGCTGACAGGAATAATATGATTGTTAATAGTATCATATTCATTCAGACAAACATCAATGAGACAGTTAATTAATGTACTTATTGCAGCAGTCTGCATAGATTTGGTACCCCTGCTGGTCTAAGAGTGAGACAAACTCATTCAGTTATTGTTGAGTTAAAATTCATTAAATTACGTCTGCCACCTTATATGTAAGGCTTTACTGATGTGCCACAATAATATCACCTATGTGATTGAGTTAAAATATTAATATTGTGGCTTTCCAAGTTAACATTGATTGTAGGGGTGTAACGGTTCACAAACATTTCGGTTCAGTACGTACCTCGGTTTTTAGGTCACGGTTCGGTTCGGTTTGTTACGTTTTCGGTACAGCAGAAAAAATTATCACAAAACATTAAATATTATTATTAAACTGTGACTAATGTATTCAAATAAATACAAAATATAGTAAAATAAACATTAAGGTGCAGCATTTCGATGAACTGAAATAATCTGTATTTGAACTGTACTAGTACCTAAGCAGCCAGCATGACATTAGGACTTGCTTGTCATTGTATTTTCATGTTGTTTAAAGAAAGATTAACTTGTCCACATTGCTTGCTGAAATGGCAGATCTGCTGGCACTAACCATGTCTCCTGCTGTGGAGAACACCCTCTCGCTAGGGACAGTGGCAGCAGATACAGCCAGGTAGCGCTTTGCTAACATGGCAACATAAGGATATTTGGCGTTTCTAATAGCTTTGGCTCGGTCTGAACTCTTTGCGAGTGGTGGAGGCTTAAATGCTAGTGGGAGTTGGGTTTGCACTTCAGTCTTTTTTCTTTTGGTACCGGTGATATTCACGTTCGGGTGATGCCTTTTCAAGAGTGTGATGTATTGCCAGCCGCGTAACCAATGTTAGTTGAACAATGCCGACAAACAGCTTTGGTTCGGTCCACCTGTCTTTGTCCGTCATCCTTGTACGTAACTGCGAAACCAAAATGTTCCAAAACCGGAGACTTCAATGATGCTGGAGGATTTTCGAGCTCAACTTTATCTGCGTTCGCCATTTCGACAGTTCCTCAAATTACTGACTACATTTGAACGCATCCCTGTGACCAGCTCTCATAGTATGCCTCTCGTCCAATGAAATGACTTGCTCGCTCTATGATATATACCTGAGATTACTTCCAGAAAGTTGTTCATGTTCTAAATTTTTTACGTTTAACGCTATATTCGTTCGGTACCGAACCGAAGGGCCCGTACCGAATAATTTCAGTACGGGTACCGTTACACCCCTAATTGATTGATATGATTGCGATTTAAATCAGCATATACTTCTGTCAGGGGATGCCACCCCTTAAAATCTCCTGCCACCCTCTTGCCACCCCATGAATATTTGTCTAGATCCGCCCCTGGTCACATCCACCCCCAGCTTTTGCATCATCGACCCGATGATGGATTTCAAAAAGGGTGGAATTAACACCAAGGCCTGAAAACTACAGACTGGGCGTTGGACATAGGGCTTGCATGTGCACTGGCTGAATCGTCCTGAGGACCAGAAGGACGAGGAAGATGGTGGACATTAGAATGGTGGCCAGCAGTAGGGCGGACAGTTCTACGCAAAGCCTGCTGGCGAGTACTCGGCTGGTTGGTCGTGGATGTAGAAGGGACTGAGGGTGAGGAGACTCCATGCAATGAGGCTTCCGGCACTGGTCGGGACTGGTACAAGATTTAATCAGAGGGACCAGAGGCCCTTGGAGCCACTGAAAGTTGTGGAATGTGGTTATCAGGAACCAAGAGCCAAAGGTCACTGTCGCTAGAGGAGTCAAGGTCTAATGCGGGCACGGCAAGGTGGAGATGGCACGCGGGATGGAGGAGTGGCATTCTCAGGCTGCAGAACCGCCTTCATCATATCCCGATGTACATTCCGTACCCTCTGTGGGTCGTTGACAGGGGCAACAGTACAAACTGTTCCTTCACCAGAGGGGGCCCGTACAACCTGGTAGACCACAGAGCTCCAGAGATCCTGTATTTTATGTCGACCTCTAACACCATGGTTCTTTAGGTACACCATTTGGCCCACTGGGAAAGGTGCACCCCGGACTCTCTGATCGTGCGGATCTTTCCGGCGGCCAGCAGCCGCTAGCAGCCGCTCACGAGCACCCGCTCACGAGCACCCGCTCACGAGCACCCGCTCACGAGCACCCTCAAAAGCAACCCTGAGTCTGGCCTGGTGTTCAACCACCCAGTCCTGTACCTCACCTGGTACTGGATCCTGGATTCGACCCAAAAGGAAATCTACAGGAAGCTGGGGTTCCTGTCCAAACATCAGGTAGTAGGGCGATTCACCAGTGCCTTGATGAGGAGTAGTGTTATAACAAAACAACACCTGAGGCAAACAGGAGGCCCAGTCCCGTTTCCGTGATACTGGCAGGGTGCGAAGGAGATTATGCAGAGTTCGGTTAAACCGTTCGAATTGCCCATTACCCGCAGGATGGTATGGGGCCGTACGGGATTTTGTGATGCCGTACAAAGAGCAAAGCTGTTGAATCAGGGAACTCTCGAAGCTCCTGCCTTGGTCTGAGTGAAGACGGCTCGGAAAACCAAACTTGTAGAACCACTCGCAGATCAATACTTGGGCCACGGTAGAGGCCCGTTGATCCCGAGTAGGAACAGCTACAGTAAATTTGCTGAACACATCTGTCATGACCAATACATTCTCAAGCCCATTTCCGGAAGGCTCCAACAGAGTGAAATCGATAGCCAAGATCTCATTGGGCCGTGAAGCAAGCAAATGGCCCATAAAACTATGGGGCACCTGGCCTGAGTCCTTGGCCACTTGGCATCGTTCACACTCTTGGAACCAACTCTTTATATCGGAGGACATACCCGGCCAATAGCAGCGCTGTCGGACCAGCTCTGTGGTCCGTTCAATGCCTTGGTGGCCATGCTGTTGATGCAGCTGCGTTAAGGTCTCCGGTTTGAGAACTGCAGGCAAAATGAGTTGGAAAGACTCTTCCCCCCCCATCAGAGCGGAACACCTGTCGAAAAAGTATACCATCTTTCTCCACCAGGCGGTCCCATTGGCGTAAAATTGCCATGATTGGCCGCTGAAGTTGCCGCTTCTTGGCTGAGGTAGGTGGGGTTTTACATCGCCAAAACACCAACACCTCCTTTAGGAGGGAATCATTTTCCTGCAATGAACGGAGATCTGGCACAGAGTGGGATGGAAGGACTGAGATCAAGGACTGAGACACAGGCACCACAGAACCTGAAGGTGAGTTGTGGTAAAGGCTATCAGGGACGGGAGTACCAGGCACATACTGTACTGGCGTGAAAGTGTGTCAGCATTTCGGTTGCTTCGACCGGAGCGGTACTTGATATCAAAATCAAAAGAGGCAAGCTGGGCCGCCCACCGTTGCTCAGTGGCCCCAAGTGTTGCCGACTGGATGTAGCTCAATGGATTGTTGTCGGTATAAACGATGCACTTATGCCCCAATAAGTACTCTCGAATCTTTTCCGTCATGGCCCACTTGAGCCCAAGGAATTCCAGTTTCATGGAGCTATAGTTGGACATGTTGCGCTCCGTGGGCCGAAGGCCTCGGCTAGCATAGGCGACTGGTCTCACAGCACCGTCCGTGTCCTGGGAGAGGACAGCCCCAAGGCCACTATGACTAGCGTCAATCTCCAAAATGAAGGGGCGTGAGAAGTCCGCATAAGTCAACACTGGGGCTGAGACCAACTTTGACTTCAGGGCCTCAAAGCCTTCCTTACACTGAAGAGTCCATTCGGCAGCCAAAAGCTGACCTGATTTTGTCTTGGTCTTGGTGC